TCCCAACCAGTACCCGGTGCACACCTCTTGTCTCATCCATGTGCGCTACATGCCCCGCCCATCTCATTCTTCTCGACTTAATCACCCTGACAATATTGGGGGAGGAATATAAATTTTGAAGTTCATTATGCAGTTTTCTCCAGACCCCATCGTCTGCTCTCCTAGGCCCAAATATCCTCCCTTAGAGTGAGAGACCACGTTTTGAACCGATGCAAGACAACTGGCAGAATTATTGTTTCGTATATTATAATCTTCAGGTTCTTAGAAATCAGTCGTGAAGACAAAATATTTTGAACTGAGCAGTAGCAGGCATTTTCGGAATTTAGCCTCCCCCTAATTCCGTCGTGAATAAATTTTGATTTGTTATTGTTGTTTCATTGTTCCGTAAACCCGCGTACTATATAGTAACAGTATCAGAACTTTAACCTGATTTTCGACCACTTTCAAGGTCACTGACAATTTATTCTGGCCGATTAAACGCACGACGTCGCTTTCATTGCTATCGTAAACCACGTGCACTCTTAGCTTCGTGTTGTTGATGATGTGTCCGTGCTATGAATGCTTTTACGAAATCTTGTGACGTATTCGAGTATGGTGACCAAAGAACGTAGAAGCGAAAATCAAGGTAATGCATCGTGGAGATGTACTTTGTATGTCGACTGTTGAACGTTTGAATACAGTCTCGCGAATAATGGTATACGTTGTAAGTGTGCTCGTAGATGTGGAAATGGAGTGCTGACAAGAGTAGGTTTTCTCTCTGCGTTTCTGATAATGTCATCTCTGGTCGCGACGACGATGGCGCCATCATTCTACTTCGTGTGTTTGGGATTGTTTGACTAAGATATTTTGTTGTGACTTCTGCTTCTGTTTTGTAGCGTGATTATTAATCTTTTCTGTATTTGTTAAGAAATATTGAAATAATTTGCTAAGAGCTTAATATTTTTTATTACATTATCATTTATCTTTATTAATGAGGTCAATATTTCTGTAGAATGTTTCCCTGATTTATTTCTTTCATGTTTTCCAGACTGCTTTTATTTTGTTTTTTTGCTCGAGGCTGTTTAGTCTGGTTGTCACATTTAATCTGATTTAGACCTCGAGAAAGTAAGTATCTTATAATATTTCGTGCAGTGAATTTTCATTACTTGGTTGTTCCACTATTGACAAATTAGGTAATCTTTTTTTATCTTTGTGATCCAGTCATTCTTTTCAGATATTTTATCACTGTTTTGGTGGTGAAACTTGCTTATACATTTTTAAGAGATTATTTAGGAATGTGTTGAATTTTGAATCTACATCAAGGCTGTTTAATACTCATTCCCAATTTTCATTCGATGAGAGATACATTCTTTAATAGTGTCTTCATTTCTGAGTCTGATTGATATTCTGTACTTATGATAACTGGAGATCGA